ACCACAGTCGACTATGTGGGAGTCCAGTGACATAGCCATTACGCTAACTGCTGGTCCCGACCATAGCTATTTTATCTGACTTTGTCAACTATACAAACACGGTCGCCCATGTGCACCCATTGCATGGGCCTTGGAAGGATCCCTACGCAGATGGGGCTGTGTTTGGGCCTCCTCGGTCTCATGGTGAGTCTGCCCTGTGGTGTGCTGGAGCCATGTGCACAAGGTACACACCTCTTCCCAACTTCACATCCAGTGATGACATGTCGAAAGCTCAAGATCCACCGCTACTGGTGTATTTACACTGCAGAAATTGGCAAACGCTATCAACTCAGGCTTCCTGCCTCCTCCAGTAAGCCAGCACGACACTGAATTCACCTCTATCAATGGCAAAAGTGTAGCGCCAATGCTGGTCTGGGGCACAAAGTCCCTATCACTGGCCATTATAGCTGAACTATTTCAGAGATCAGAGCCATCAGCTTCAGTGTCAGACCAGGAGAGAGCTCTCTAGGGCGGTGATGTGCGCCTTCCATCTGTACACTGCCCACTCTCCCCACTCTCCCCGCTTTGCTCTCATTCCTCTGCCCCTCATCCACCATAAGAAGCCAGAGCAGCCCTGACAGCCGGTTGCAGTAAGACAGGAACACTTCAGAACAGGACCACGGGGGAGAAATACTTTCCAGGCTATTTCCATAGAGATGACTGACTGGGGGGTACTCCAGGTTAATGACCCTAAGATGAAACTGCCTGACCCATCTCATGACCCACTGGCTCTATGTCGGAGGTGACCTCTGACTCCTGGATCAGCTGATATTTCCGGCTTTCAGCACTCTCGGAAGAGAGAGGCCCTAAGTCTCCCCCGCTCAAGTGCTCACATTGCTTCTCATTTGCCCCAAACATACTCACCTCCAGTTCTACGGAGTCCCTCATTCCAACATGGGAGACACAGTCCACGCCCTTCCCTCTGTTCTCTGGGGCCTCCCTAGCTCATCTTGCCCTCAAGAGGGAAAGTGCCTCGGGTCGTTGGGGCCCCTGCAGAACCAGGCTTCTCTGCAGTCTCTCTCTAGACCTACAGGCTCATTTCCCAGATAGGGAAACAGACTCAGAATGTCACACTGGAGTGCAACAGGAAATCGCTCAGTCACACTGAAGCCTGTGTGACTCCACCGCCCACGCCCTTTGCATTCCTTTGTTACCTCTTGAACGGGCATGGATTTTGTCTCCTGGCAGTGTGGAGCCAGGCTCCTGTGCAGACTGTGTCCCCAACTCTCCCCACAACGGCACAGAAGTCCCAGGGCAGCCACTCCAGCCTTGGGTCTACGGAGGTGAACAGGTGGGAGACCAGGCAGCATAAAGACAGGGAAGAGAAGGAGTTGGGCAGTGTGCCCATTTCCAAAGATGCTCACAGTGAGGTGTGCACAGCAGCGGCCAGGGCCATGACTGCAGGAGCATCTCTGCCGGGCTCCATGTGAGGACTCCATGTGAATAACACCACCACCAGCCAGCACACTGAACTGAAAGGATGTTCGAATCCTCATTCTGCTACAAATTAGCTGGGATCAAGAGAAAGCCACCTACCCTTCCTGTGGCTCGGTTTCTCGCCCTATAAAATAGACAGGGAAAGGTCACCCTTCCGCGGCTGTCAGGGTAGAGGGAGACGGTGTCTGTGAAGTGCTTAGTGCTGGCACATTGGAGCCATACCCGGCGGTCGCTTCCATTATTGCTAAGAAGTCACCGTACCTTTCAAAGTTTGTCCTTGCCCGGTTTCCCAGCAAGACAAGGAGGCGAGGCCAGCTCATTCAAGGAAGGGCAGTCTTGCACATACACACTGAGGTCAAGGCACATAGGTCCAGAATCCCAGTTCAACATTGGCCAACAAGGGAACCGGGCACGTTCCTTAACCCCTCTATGCTTCAGCTCCCTCATGGGTGAAATGGAAACAAAACAGTACCTAACTAATAAGACAGATTTTTTAAAAATTGCCAGAGGGCACATGCACTCACTGGAGAGACAGAGAGAGAGAGAGAGAAAGCACCCCCATAGGGTATGATCACACCACAGTTCCTTCTCTAGCTCTCTCTCCTTTCAGGATTTTGGGGTTTGGGGCATGCATACATATGTCCCTGGTGTAAGTTTTTCAAGCTTCCGGGTTTAGGACTCGAACTGCACCGTCAAGTGGGATCCAGCCACCTTAACCACCAGGCTGCAGCTAGCTCTAAGAGATTTTTTGGGGTTAAATTGAATTAGTGTTTGTAAAGAACTGAGAACAGTGGCTGACGTACTTCAGTCTCAGCCTGTGGCCCTCTGCCCAGGGGAAGGCCCTGTCCTCCAGGACGGGCTAGGCCAGGAGCTTTTGTGCCTGCCACCTCACCCCATTCAGAAGGTCTCCCACAGCTGCCAGGTCTCTGTCATCTGCCCCACCAGCCCCACCGCCCCAACTGCTCAGATTTCCAATTACTTGTCCTGTTTTGAATTCGAGTGGGATATTAGCAGCGAGTCTGGCTCTATTAATGGCGGCGGCTTTAGTGTTATCGACTTTCTCACTCACTCCTCGCTCTCCCTCGCACAAGCTCTGTTTCCTTTAATTAAGCCCCGTGCTAAGTGCCCAGCAGGTGATGTGAGTCTGGAACGGCCTTTGTTCTGGGACTTAGGCACTTTCTCATGGGCCGGGGTCTGGTGAGACAGTGCGCTGCTGCCTTTGAAGTCTGACATCCATCCTCACAACCGGAGAAGTGGGACTGCAGAGAGCCAGGCCCGAGACAGGAGCCCTGCTGCATCCCCAGCCTGCCTCCCTACCTAAGTGGTGGTGAGGGACGTGAGAGCCTCCACCTCTGCAGTCCCACCCAGCTACAGAGGACTGAAGGTCAGCTCAGGGGAGTGGGCAGGAGGCTCCATTCTGTGGACTGATGAATGGGGAGACGGAAGCCAAATATGCCCGAGAGTCAGAGACATAGAGAAAGCAGCCCGGAGGCTGGCATTACTCAGACTGGGTTTGAATCTTGTGCTGTGCTTGCCGTGGCAAATTATAAGCATGATGTGCCTCAGCTGCCCCCTGTGTAAAACAGGGTGATGGTTCTCCCCTCTCAGGAGAGGACATGCAGGGGTCATCTTCAACGCCAGCCCTGCTGCCATCAGAATCTCACTGTGCAGCCAGCCTGCTGCTTGGAGGTTACTTCTGACCCCAGCCACCAACCCTGGTTGGGCCGTCGGCACTTCTGCGTACTTGCGATTGCAGAGACAGAGTTCATCTCACTCTTCTGTGCAGATCTCTGGGCCTCGGTGCGGGTGGGTTCACACGTACATCGCTGTGTACACCTCGTGCTGTTGACGGGAGGGTGGGCGTGTCTGTATTTCCACCCGTGGTCTGCTGCTTCTTCTCTTTGCCAGATGAGTAAAGAGCTAGCGATGGAACCAGTGAGCTCAGCTCAACCTACTTTATGCCAGGGGGCTTCAAAAAGTCTATGGAAAAAATAAAATAAAATAAAACCCCACAAAATGAAAGTATGAGTGCAAAAAATTTAAATCCATGCATAGTTACTTTTCATAATATGTATTTTTTCCATGAACGCATTGGAAGATTCCATAGTAACCCATCACTATACTTGCCAAGCAGACTCACCTGAGTGAGATCAACCTACACTCAACTCCGGGCTTCAAGCCTTTCTAAGCGCCATCAGAAGAGTGAGAGCTGGGACCAGCAGTTGGCATAATGGCTATGTCACTGGACTCCCATGTAATCGACCACGGTTTGAGTCCTAGACCCGGTGGCATAAACTCACGCCAGGCGCGTGTGCATGCATGCCCAAAATCCCGAGAGGAGAATGGAGGAGAAGGTATTGCAGTATGATCATCCCCCTGGGAGGATGATTTCTCGCTTTCTTTCTCTCTCTGTCTTTCTGGCGAGCACACATGCCCTATAGTGAAAAACTCTCGAAAAAAAAAGAAGAGTGAGAGCCAAAGCAGGTTATTCACCATTAAGAAGTGAGGGCCCAAAAGACTGAGCATAAAGCCTCCAGCGCAGCGCCTGCCACACAGAAATACCCAGGAAATACAACGACATTGTTGCCGATGCCACAGAGAGCTTGAATACCAATCACAATGACTGGGACTGCTCGTGTACACAGGTATCTGCCCCCTGGGTCCCTGCCTCACCGACTGGTTGGAAAGCCCCAGCCCCTTCCAGCTGGCCCAGTGCCCGTGCATGTCCCCAGTCGCTGCTACTCTGGTTGGTCTCTCAGCTGCAGGAGCTACTGTGAGGTGGGCAGAAGACAGGGGGTCCAGTGATCTCTGACAGGTGCTGAGCAGCAGCTTGGGGGTGTCATCATCAGCGGTTTGCAGTGAGGGGCCTCAACACTGCTACCCAACTGTGCCAGGGCTGCAGGCACTTCCCACTCACCCTGTCACCCTCCCCCTCAGCGGCCTTTCTCATCTGCCCCAGGAAGACCTGTCCGCCCTCCCAACCTCATGCCGGCTCCTCCACCAGGGACTCACAGAGTCCTTAGTCCTAGTGCACTTCTTAGCATGTGGTCTCGTTTTGCCTCTCAGCTCCTTTTCTTACCTCTCCTACCAGGCTGTGGGTTGGGGCTGGGAGTGCCCTGATCCCTCCCTGTGCCCCAGCGCCTCAAGGCGGAGCCAACCAGGGCAGGCATGCATGAAAAGCCTGGCGAATCGACTTCAGTCACGGATGCCTATCCAGAGATATTTGACACTCTAAATTTCATCCAGTCCTAGAAGCATCTACTCCTTATTCCTGGGCACCAGTCCTGTACCTGAAGGGGTAAGTCAGAACTATAGGTCCAGATGTAAAAGACTAAAGTCCTACTCAAATGGGCCGAACCCAACAAAAAGGGAGCAGAGGACTGGACTGGCGTGTGCGTGGATCCCCGACGGCTGGATTTAGGTGCTTGGCCATGGCCTCTGACTCCATGTCTCAGGTACAGGCACACTGCCTGCCCGCAGTGACAAAATGTGCATGCAATATGTGTGACGATATCTTTGATGGCACCAATATACAGTGTACTCAGGATGGGAAAATGCTGCAATTGGTATGCTGCAATGATATGCAGTGAGTGAATGTAAAATAATAATCATAATAATGTGTCAAGATGGCACCAGAAGCTCCAGGCTCTGATTCTCCCCAGGTCAACAATTCCAGAGGAAAGAACTTGCTTCTTTCCTGCAACAACCTCCAGGAGTCCTCTCATTGGTCCAGCCTGGCTCCCATGACGTCTCTGAACCAATCACTGTGGCCCGGCAGAGCGGCGCTCTCCTTGGCCAGGTCTGGATCACGTGCCCATCCCTAAAGCAGAGGGCTGGGGAAGGATAGTCAGCCCTGCCCTGCCCAGGTGCCCTGTGATGGGGAAGGAGCAGTTTTCCTAAAAGAAGCCAGGGCACTCCTTCCAGAAGAAAGGGAATGGACAGGGAGCAGGCAAAGGCAAGGAATAGTCACCCAACTGCTCCATTAACGAAGACAAGAAAAGTAGTAACGAGTCCAGACTTCCAGGAGGAAACGGACCACCTTCAGGAGGCAGCACACCGAGCCAGAATGGTGTGAGGAAGGGACTATCTAGGTACCAGCCAGCTCTAGCTCACCAGCGCCCAACTGTGTGACACAGACACTCAGCGCCAATGGGGATGAGAATGGCCAGCGGGCTGGAGCAGTCTAGAAGCTTCCTGGAGAGGAGAGTGGGACTGACAGAGCTAATAGGCCCAAGAGAAAAGGCAGATGGGTTTCTGGGCCCTATGCAATGATGGGAGGGGGATGGAACTGGCCATGAGGATGTCATACCAGGGCACCAGGCTGTCCCCAGAGCCACTTCAGGGGAATGAATGGTAGGGAGGGAGCAGCAGAGCCTCTCCCCTCCAAAGGACCAGGCTCCACCCACAGGACCCGAGCCAGCAAGATCAAAATCTAATTTACTCATTAGGCGTGTTTCTTCTGTACAAATCAAATCATGGGCTATTTTTTCACATCGTAAATATTGTTTTAAACTCTTGCTCATGGGCAATTAGATTACAAGCATCGCCTGGTGAGCTCTACGCCAGCACATTTGGCGGGTCCCTGGCTGCTTTGCGACTAGTTCCCTTTTAAAATGTTTCCCAATGATTTTTAAGGGGCCTTTGAAATCTTCTCCCTGGTGATGCATGAGGGGCCGTGTCTATGGCCATTAATCTCCATAACAGCCCAAGAGAGACTCAGTCTCCTCTGTGTTCTTTTCCAAATGGCCCAGCTGAGCTCTGCACCCCTCACATTTCTCCCTATGGTTCTGTGAGAGCGTCCCCAGTGAGCTAGGTACCCTCCCTGCCTCTGTCACCATGCCGGAGCCCAGGAAAGCACACAGCTGGAGCATCACCCCGCGGGAGACCTGCATTCCAGTACCAAGATCTTCACTCACATTGTGCAAGCTATTGCATCTCCCGTCCCCAGGCCTCAGTGTAGACGTCTATAGAAAGGGGTGAATTCTTGCCTCATCATTATGGCCCCTACTCTCCTCTGTCGGCCTCAGTGGGCCCTCTGTGAGCTTCCACAGCTGCCAAGAAGATTCGGGTTCTTACTACTCCCCCCCCGTGACCCCTTTGTTCTCAATCAGCCCCTTCCCCCCAATTCTCCAGCTCATCTTAGGCTCAGCCCTAGAGTGATAGCTCTCTCCCTGCAGACCTCCATAACCCCAAGCTGATCTTGGGGGGCACTGGGACCACCTCTTCCAAGAGGAGTGTCATGACTGCCTTGGCTCTCAGTTACCTCTCTTTTCTGGACTTCCATCCCACCAGACACTCTTTAGTACCTGATAACAATCACACTGACCTATTTTTTTTTTTTTGGAGAAGTTTTTGCTATAGGGTGCATCCGCTCACCAGACAGACAGAGACAGAGAGACAGAGAGAAAGAAATCACCCTCTAAGGGGGATGACCTTGCCGCAATCCCTTCTCCTCCATTCTCCTCTCAGGATCTTGGGCACGCACGCACACACGCCCGGCGTGAGTTTTAAGCCACCGGGTCCGGGACGCGAACCGCAGTAGACTACGTGGGAGTCCAGCGACATAGCCATTACGCTAACTGCTGGTTCCCAATCACACTGACCTTTTACTGAGTGTCTATGAAGCGCCAGGCTGACGGTAGAGGCTGTATATGTGATTTCTTTCAGTCCTCCCAGCATTTCTGCAAGGTAAATAATAGTACTCCCATCCTACAGGTAGGTAAACTGAGGGCCAGAGAGGCCACTGGACTTCGCAAGTTCACAGTTTCTCACGGCTGGGCCAGAACGTAAGCGTTCCCCTCCTCCCTAAAAAGAACGGTCTTGTATCGTGCCTCTGCTGTGTCACACAGAGTCGGTTCCTCACTTAATCCCATGACAACTCCCCATGAAGTAGGCAATGCTACCCCCATTTTACTTTTTCACTTCTTCTTTTTTTTTTTTTAATTTCCAGAGGGCATGTACATTTGCCAGAGAGAAAGCACCCTTCCTGGGGGCTGGTCATGCCACAATCCCTTCTCCATGTCTCCCTCCTGTTAAGATTTTAGAATGTGCACACCTATGTTTGGTGTGTTTTTCAAGCCCCAAGGGCTCAGATTGAACTATAGTCAGGTACGTGAGATCTGGGCCCCTGAACTAGGTTATGGGGCTGGTGCACCGTCCCTGTCTTATAGAAGAAACAAAGGCCCAGGGAAGAGGCATCTTATCCCACAGCTTCTCATCAATAGATGAAGTGACATTCAAAGTCTCATCTGCTGACCCCACAGACCTGCTCTTCCCACCCTTCCCCCCGACTCCCACACAGCCCCAGGGGTGGTCTTGGAACTCGAACTTGAGGACAGACCCACTTCCCAATGTACCGGCCCACCTTCCTGGAGACGACGCACCTGCTTGACTTGTGAGCACAGAGGAGGAAGGTTAGAAGCCCACCCTCACCCTCTAGAGAAGGGTCTGGAGAGCATGAAAAAATATGAAATCTCTTTTATCTGTTCTTTTCATTCTTCCTTTCACAAATACTTACGGAGCAGCACTCTGTGCAAGGGGCCGCCTGGATCTACGTCCCTCTGTGCTTCAGAACAACAAAGTTATTTCCTATCACTCAGAAAAGGGCTTTATGGGGTAGTATCCCCAGGGCTGATGGTTCTTCTAGATGCTCCTGAGAGACAGTCATGGCACAACATCCTGGAGGCTGTACGGCAGTGTCAGGGCTGGGGAGGAGTCCCGATTGGGGGCTTCCAGATCCTGCCCTGAACAGAGGGACATTGCCCGAGGTGCCCAAGGCAAGTTCTGACCCCAACCCTGCCTTGAATGAGAAGTGCGCTGGCCTTGGAGGGCTTCAGACTGTAATGAGAGCAATAAAGGGCTTCCTCCACCCCCATTCCAGCAGTGCTGGGGTCTCTGGCAACACCAGAAGGAACCCACTGTGTGCCTGAGGTTACGCGATGGTCTCGTTGCAGCACAGGCACCTGCTCTCGTGATCTGAC